ATATAGAACTTGCAGTATTACGGTGATAAGATCACAGTGGTGTATGCTCAAGTCAGCCACATAATTCAATTACATTTCATCAAATGAAGCTTCCGGAGATGCTTCTTTAGAGTGTACTGTAGTAGTTTGAACAAGATGTAACAATAATGTGGATAACTGTGTTCAAATTAAACAAAATATATAGTTGGCACTAAACAAAATTATGCAAACATTCTACTTTTACTAATTATACAGGCAATAAAATAAATCAGAAAAATAAAAAGGACTTTCAACCTATGAACTTGATCTTTCAAATAGAAAAAGCCTTTTCAAGGTAGGTTGAATCTGGATTCCTGAGATAAATTTTCTGTTTACCTCAATTTTACCTGAATTTAATCTCAGTTTATTCATCTTTAATTACCCATTATTCCTGGAGTTACTTGACAAAACAATATTGCTGAGGCTGGTCAGCATTTTAGTGGCACCTCATTAAAAAAAAATATTCTGGGGTGTTTTGTGTGGTATAAATATAGCATATTACAGGGGTGAAATGCTCCTGGTTCGGACTGGCTCGGGCGAGTAGGTAGCGATGGGGGCGGGCAGTTCGGAGAACTGGTAGCAAAAATCCCTGCCCCCGCCTCCTATGCCCAGCTGAGCCAGGCGATCATCAGAGGCTTTTTTTCTTTTAAATGCCTCTGACGAGGCAAGCTCTGACGATCCAAGCTCTGACGATCCCAGCTGAGTTGCCTGCCGATCAGGCAACTCAGCTTGGATCGTTAGAGCCATTTAAAAGAAAAGAAGTTTTTTCTTTTAAATGGCTCTGACGATCCAAGCTCTGACGATCCCAGCTGTGTTGCCTGATCGGCAGAGGGTTTTTTAAAAACCCTCTGACGATCAGGCAACTCAGCTGGGATCGTCAGAGCCTTTTGAAAGCATTTGTTTACATGGTTTTACATGTAAAAATGGTTTTAAAAGTAAAAAAAAAATTGGTCACGCCCACCCAGTCACATTACCACCCCCACTAAGCTATGCCCACAGAACCGGTAGTAACAAATTTTAGATTTCACCACTGGCATATTATAAAATAATTTTCTAGTAAAGAAAAAGGAGGAGGGGAGGAGGAGGAAGAAAGAAGAGAACCACTGAAATAATTTCTCTGAAAAGTAAATATGTGTTATCATTAATCAAAAAAAAAAAAAGCCCACATATATCTGCATGTAACTAGGCTGATTTTCTGAAATCATTCTGTTCCTAGCTTGGCTACTCCAATATGGCTATTCTGTAAGTCGTAAAACTGTTTTCAGTAAACTAATCCTCTCTTTTTGTAAGTGATGTTCCAAGCAAAAGAAAGAAATATGCTTTGTGGTCAGACCACAGAAATCTAAACATATCACTTCAATATCACCCTCAGCTACTCATTAAACAGGAGGTTGACTTAATATGCAAAAGAGAAAAAAATGCTTCAGGATGTTTTCATGTCAGCTATTTCAATAGTCCACAAATTAATCAGGACTTTAACAAACAAAATGATTTAAGGAGACAGAAAAATCACCAAGTTTATTTAGAAAATTATTCAAATCCATAAATCCTTATTAAAATGAGTACCTCCCATTGAAGCCAATAAATCATGAAAAATAAAAGAATCTGAATCCACTAGAACAGACATTTTAGGAGATTCATGGGAACACCTGGCCTGTCACAATCAAAATAACAGGATTACATAAAGTTCCTCTGCTCTCAGATCATCAATTCCACTCATTCAAAATATCCATATAGTAAACCTGTCTGTTGAGAAGTCTAGGCCAGCTGAATACTGTCCCTAAGACAAGTCAAGCTAACTCGGGGAAAAAAATACTGTTAAGCAGAGGGATGGAACAGAATCTCTGCATGGTCCTAGCAGAAGAGTTGAAAAAGATGGAGTAAGTGGCAGTAACTTTCTCATTCAGAATTAACTCCTGGCATTAAAATAATGGATGTGTTAGGTTAGAAAGTACTACTTCCTGTCATCTAACTTTCTTGCTCTGATTGCAACATGAAAGAAGACGAAGCAAACAGTGGCTGCCTTTTTTTGTCCCCACGTAAAAGCGAAGGGAAATATTGTGGTTGATTCAGATTATGTTGGTTTTCTGATTTACTGACATTAAAGGGAGATATTCATGTCAACCTGAGTCTAAACAAGAGGCCTCCTTCTGGGGCACTATTTGAGATGGTGATGGCCCTTTTGAATATGCTTCATTTCAAGATCTTCAGGCTACAGATATTATGTGTAATAGGTTTATGACAATTGAATTTTCTGAAGCATAACTGGGTAAATTTTGCTCTTCTTTCTAATAAAAACACATTCTCATTGCACTGTGTTGATTATATCTGTCTACATCCATTATGTACAATACGTGGTGCACTGATGGTTCAATATGATTGATTATCTTCAATAAAATCTTTATGAGACAAGGAGAATTAGTGCCGTCAAATAGTATGATTCTATAATACATGATGTGCATGTAACAGCTATAATGCACACCAACAAGTATAAAACCTTCTACTGACTTACAATTTTAAAAAAACCAGCCCATAATTTATTTTTTTTAATTTTGCTCCAGGGAAATTTTGGCATTCCTCCCCCCCCATCTTTAATGTTTTATTAAATATTTTATTAATGCTTAATAATGCAATACTTTTGTGTAAATTGCTTTATGAGATTCATCAAAAGTACAGTATGCATAGCCTACGGTAATTTGTTGTGGGCTGACATAGCAATAAAAATTCCGTTTCTCATATTGATGTTGCAAAGTTGCCATCAATGCTGATACTGATTCATATTCTTCTATGAAGTGCTACTGAACTAAAATGGGGAGATCCAGGTTTAAATACCAATTAGGTATATATAATTTATACTGGATCAGTCACAACCGCCAGTCTAGGGGGGAATTCTTACTTCAGAGTTATTGTGAAGTTTTAAAAAAAGGAATAGAAGAATGCATATCAGCTTGATCTCCTGGAGGAAATAAACAGAACAGTAGGAAGAACAGGACACGGAGCGAGCTGTATTCAAAACAGATACACATGATCTTCACCACAGCAATAGCGCCTCCTAGCTTGAATTGGTGCAAAATTTTTACCAGCACCCTGGAATCTAAGACTGGTGCACACATAAACTGAAATTATGTGGGAAATCTGCGGCTAAATATAAATACTAGATTTATTTATGATTATGTCCAAACTAGAATTTCTGGCTATGTGCTCCAAAACAAGCAAAGAACAAAAAGCCAAAAACAAATTTGGCATTGTATTCTGATTTATTAGTTGGGAATCTCAGTTCAGATACAACTGTAAAAAAAAAAAAGTTGCAGATATCCTAGGGTATTTTAATTGCTCCCAGGGCCATAAAAAGTCAATGGAGGCAATGAGTGCTATTTGTAAGTAATAAGCCAGAATTCAAAGCAATTTCACTTTTTAAGTGTGAAACAGAAATACTGTTTATTCGGATAGCTATGTTTTCTGGCTAAAATGAGTTTACATAGTATGATTAATTAAAAATGAGCTCCTTTATAAACTTCACTCATCTGATCAATAATGCCTAGGTCTTCATTAAGTTTTAAGCGATCAGGAAGTTTCCAACAAATAATACTGCATGTGAATATATTCATGAAAATAATTACCCCTAAAGGTTCTAGGTAAAATATGTCCGCCCTCAAAATAATGAAATCTGCAGTATATTATATTGCATTGAATACATATGATGCGTTATCTGGTCAGGTAAAAGCAATTCCCCTATGAATGGATTACTTCTAAAGTACTGCTTGGGAGAAAAATATTAATGAAAGGTATCTGAAAGATAAGGTGAATAAAGAAATGGAAATAAAGTAGATTAGTGCGCGACTATAAAACTCAAGTAGTTAACAATGAATGAGACTCTTTTTCATTAATCAAAACCTCAAGAACCAGAAACGTGTACTATTTAATTCTCAATTATTTAATTATTATTAAAAGGTTAGTAAAAATTGTTTTTATGATTCACTCTTTAACTTTACAGGAAATTGAGATTCTGTATCACGAATCAGAAGTCCTTTTTACTTTCATAGTTCTCAGGTAGAGTCATGCCAGCACACATTTTATATTCTACCTCCTGGTCTAGTTGTTATTCTGGTTTTTATTTGACAGTAACATTTTTACAACACAGTTTGGTGACAGACAGGATGCAGGCTCTCAGATGACAATATGGGTAAGATTGCCAAATGTCCTAAATAGAATTGCCACTTTCTTTTTCAGCATCTTGGCTAGGACACAATTTATATCAATCATCTCATTCTGTTTCCGATCGCCAAAAAACAAGTGGCAAACAGATTGTTTCTTAAACAACCAAAATATTCAGTTTGTGCAGTCTCTGTACCTCTGTACTGCAGAAGTTCTTTGCAATAAATGTATTTAGAAGTCATCAAGTATGCAAGTAGATGATGGAAAGAGCAGAACTGAGAGAAATGCACGTAAATAGCAAACTAAAGTGACATTTTCAAATAGCAGAAAATTAATTAACAGTTAATGGCATCACTGAAAAAAGAAGGGGACTCATTTACTGTAAGAATACAAAGAACAGCAACAACAAAGAAACCACCACTATTTATTACTGTTCGTTAATAAATTAATCTCCCTGAGAATTTGTTTTACAGAAAATAATTTCATTGTGGGTCTGCTATTCTCAATAGACAGATGCATTACCAAGTGTTTGGAAACATAATAAATAGTAGTGCCTATTTTCTAGTCACAGTTGGCTATTGATGTGAATTTCCCTTTTTTGGTCTTCAACATTTATTAGATACCTTGTCCATAACCACTTCAAGTTAACGCTTAACATAAGAAATACTATATTACATGTTGTACCATACTTAATTAAATGAGATTCCACAATTTCAAAATGTAAGAAACTTCAGCATAACATGTATAACATTAAGACGTAAATAAATAAATAAAAAGAGGCAGAAACTGTATTGACTTTCTATCTAATTTAGCTATCGTATACATACCTGAGCAGCCTACAGAAACTTCTTCCATAGCTGAGCCTTTGACTAGCTGCAGCCACGCTGGGTGGGAATGGAGGACGTGATGGAAAGTAAGCTAGCGCTGCAGAGAATATCACAGCCACAATGCCAAATTCTATGGGGACACAATTAAAGAAATCAGAGGAAAAAAATGGATTATAGTAAAATATACATACATTGCCCAAAAATGTTGCCAACCTGTTTTAAAATGCTATGGGAACAACAGAGAATATAATCTGGAAAGCAGCTTACTAGATCCATGGAATGATCCATGGATCCATGGAATGATCATACAAATATTGTCTAATTACAATCCCCATTCACTGAACAATCATTACCTATCCTTTCAATAAACAATAGCAGTAACTGGCATTAATCACAGAAATGGAATAAAATGACAAAGGTATACACTGAAGTAAAATACATAAATTTTAGTTTAAAAGTATATATGTGTGTGTCATACATACATACATACATACATACATACATACATACATACATACATATATATATATATATATATATATATATATATATATATATATATATAAAACAACAAATTAAAGCTACAAATTTAAATAACAGAAAATTAATAATAAGTTAATGGCATAACTGAAGAAAGCAACAGGCGTTTGTTAAGGGACTAAAATGAATGAAGAAATAAAAACACTTTAGGGGAAAGGAAATATAACTTCCATGAGTTTTTCCTAAAAGAAAACTGCAGTTATGCTATGCAAATCAACACTGAGATATATTTTCGTCATGCTATTGAATGTAAGGAAAGTTAAGCTGCAACAAGACTGTCATACTCTAATTTCAAATGAAAGGGATGAGCAACATATACCAGCCAGCAGAAATAAACACTACAGTAAATCTTTTGATTGGTCAAATACTTGGTTTAACAGACTCAAAATGCAAAGACAAAATCTGCTATATATGTTGTATAAAAATAAAATATAAAATTCTTAAAATCCTATTCCCATTTTATGAATGCGTAGAATATGTAAAATGCACAAAAACCCATTTGGATTTAACAGACATGCTGCCTTAACAGAATCCCTTCCCTCATTATTAGGCGTTTAATCTAGTGGATTACGCAAAGAAAATGAACTTTTGAACATGAATAAATAATAAAAGAAACATCCACATAGAATTCAAACAGATAGTAAGTCTACATCACTGTGCATATAATTTGATTTTCTAAATATAAAGATACAAACCATCTGGATGCTTCAGAGAAATGTTAAAGCCTCCAGATGTTCTTGAATTCAACTTCCATTGACCATGCTGTGCTGGGAACTGTAGTTCAGCAATATCTGAAAGGCTACTTCACTTTTACTTCAAATGAAATCTATGTAACAGAAAACCGACTACAGAAATATTTATCTTTTCTTTAATGTAGCCAGGAATGGAAGCTATATCGACCTGTTTATTTTAGAGAAGAGTTGAACCCTTCACTCATCTTCCATGAGATCTCCAATGAAGCTTCTGTAACCCAAAACTCTAACCCAAACTTCAACTCCTGTTTTTATCTATCTTTACACCCATCAGAAGCATTTACATTGCAAATTAATAACTGGACCTTTACACTTGAAGAACATTTAAGTGGAATACCTACAATAGGGGCAGTCTCTACTGCTTTGAAACTTCCTTAAGCAGGAAAATGTGGGACAATGAGACAAGAAATACATCTCTAACAAGTGCTCTATCTCACATACCTGAGCATATGACATTGCTACTGGAACCAATTGACATCGATGGATTGTGTAGGCGTGAGTGTATCTTTGAGTCAATGTTGACTCCTGGCAACTGCATGGACTAGTGCCTATAGTTTTCTTGGCAAGATTTTTGGAAGTGATTTGCCACTGACTTCCTAGGGCTTAAAGAATGATTCGTTCAAGGACATTGCTGGCTTTGTGTCTAATTTGGACTAGAAGTCACAAACTCCTGATTTCTGTCCTCATGACTTAACTATTATGCCAAGCTATTATGCTGTCCATCAATGACTACAGGATATATATTCTCGCTTTAATTACCAAATGGCTTAATTGGTTCATACAGAGAAAAACAGGGAAGGATATGGTCCATAGCCTAAACTCCTTTTCACTGCCATTTTAAACTGTGGAGTTAGTCTATCTAGTTATTATCAACTTAAATTTCATATTTAAGCTTATTGTGCGATACATGAAAAAATGAATTAGAAATCTAGCTTTTCAGTTGATAAGACATTTTAAATTAGATGTAAATATTGTGTAGCCTATAAATGATTTCATGAACTTGTCCTACACATATTAACTAGTTACAATTCATGTTTGTACAAACCTTGGTTGTGGTAAATTGACAGCTGTGACTTCATATTTTTGGGATCTACTTTCTTTCTGGGTTTGAATTCCAACTATTTGATGCTTTCTTTGTTCAAAGTTATTGGAAATAAGTAATACATACATGAATCCAGGTTCAAGAGAAATATTATTCCATTAAGAATGTTTTCAAGAAATAACCATAAAACAACAAACAGCCTTGGCAAATCCATTATTTCAAGTTGCTTTAACTGTCTATCTGTATTATAATTATAATCATAACTTTATCTCAATCAGCCTCTTATCAAAACATTTAACTTTTCACCATGCCAACCTTTGCCTTAATTTCTTTTGTATTCAAATAAAACATTAATGCATGTTAAGTAAAGAATAAAAATGTGGCAAATATGCTGGTACCAAGCTACACTAAATTAAGAAGTTGTTAAGACTATAAACGTAAGCCTGTATGGTGCGTATTCATTGACTAAATAATCTCCAAAGAAATCCCTGTATGCCATTCTATGTTTTGTAGCCTTGCTGCTTTTGTGCTATGCATACTTCTCCCCTTCAAAGCAACTTAACTGCTAGTAGTATAATTTACACTCAGAGCAAATTCAGTTAGTAAATGCCAAAAGGATGGTGGCCGAAACAGGGCTATTGAGAGATCAGATACTGGTATCAGCACTTTCTGCAATACATTAAGTCTTCTCTAATATAAAAACAACTAGCTCAGTGATATTAGATGACACTAAATGGTACAGAACGTGATGGTGGGGAAGACTAAGGAAGGCTGAGAGGTAAACACAATGGAATATCCTGGAGAAGAATATGGTAAATTGGCTGGCACACTGAGTACATTCACTTGTTAGATGTGTATTATAGCCTCAAATCCCTTCTAAAATAAGCAAAATTATTATGAATTGATATTTCAAATTTGATTAAACCAGTTTAATGAATTTTGTTTTAGACAATCAATGTGTCTGGTTAAAGCAATACCAAATAATATTAGGGTACCAAATTTTAAAATACTTTCATATCCTATTAGCTTTTATTTTACAGTAATTAGTTACTATGGATCGACAGAATCAGATGAGACAAAATATACACAAAGTTGAAATAACTTTAGTAAGAACCTTACACTGATTTACAATATAAAGACACCCACAGAATTTTATATAAGGGCTGTATTTTATTGCTGTCTGAAAAGCAGAACTGGCAGTGAAATACCAAAAAAAGAATAGGAGCGTCAGTTCTATTTTAACACAACCACATACTAGTGGAAAAATGTTTGACAAATGAACTGAATAGGTAGGGTTGGTCACATTCAAGAAGATAACATTTATAGCTAATACACAAAACTAAGGTTTGGTATTTTTATATAAAAAGCAAGTAATTCTATTATCTCTATTCTTGTAGCAAGAGACAGTTTTTTGCCAGATAAATCACTAGAGGGCAGTAGCAAACCCGTAACAGATATAGATAATCTAAAGTATAAAATTATTTATTAGTTACCTGCAAACAATACAGCCTCAATGCGGTCCTTTATGTACTCAGGACTATTTCCAAACATAGGTGGAACTGTTGATGTGCTATTTGGCCCTGGAACTACCAAAGGTCCTACTAAAAACGCACATGCTCCACCGAGGTAACTGATCAATGATGCAATAGCTGTGGCAGTGGCACGTTCATCTGGTGAAAACCATGTAGTAGAAAGAAGCGGAGAAGCACTTGTTACAGTTGGGCCTGCCAATCCATTTAACAGCTGTCCTCCGTGTATTAGCCTGGAGACAAAGCAAAAGAGAGAGAGGGACATACAGACTAAATTGCCACATACAAACTCCTAACAGTACTATAAAAATCTATAGGAAAACAGTTCAATTGACATCTTTATGCTGGGCTTAAATGAAGATTAGACACATGAGCTTCAAAGGGTTTTTTCAAAAATTGGCATGAAGACAAGGATTAAAGTCAGCAGCCTTTTCAGGAAGTATATGACGTCATTTTGCTGATGTTGTAGGTACTAACCATTAAAATAAAGCCACAAAGATAGATATAAGAGAATAGACCAAAACAAGGAGGAGTCAAAAGCACAAATAAGAACATAGATTACAGTTGCGACAACTTTGATAAGATGTATATTGAATTTTTGTTTACTTGTTCTGTAGATTTTGTTGTTACTTGTTTTGTTTGTATTTTTAAATAAATAAAATTTATAAAAAATAAAATAAAATAAAATAAAATAAATAAAATAAAATAAAATAAAATAAAGCAAAGCTTCCTGCTCTTCCTCCTTTGTATTATTAATCTTGTTAGGATTTCATGTGAAGACCCAGAATTTTCAATATTTGCTGTCAAGTGAATCATGTTACCTGCCCCTCCCCCCCGCCCAAGTACAGACTAGTATTCAGTAATTATATATTAGAGAAACCTATTAATTAAGGAATAGTCTCAAAAACTGCCATTCACACTGAGGTAATAGAAAGAAGACTGGAGCTATATTGTATATTTGAATAAGACTATCTATATCCAATGAGCATGTGAGGCATATTCATTTTTTATGCACGTGTTAACTTTGATTTTCACTTACATCGTGCGTTAAGCAAATGAGAATTGCATAAAGCTAAAACAGTGTATATAAAATTCAAGACTGATGAAAACAAACTCAACAGCAAATGCTACTGCAGAACACTGAAAAGCATCAGTTTTCATTATTTTTGCAATATTTTGCAATATTAGTAATAATGTTACATAACACATTTTTGCAAGACACACAAAAGTGGGGTGGAGGGAAAATTACATCACACTCTTGTTTTCAAAAGTAAAAAAGAGAAGCAATCAATAAAGAACAAAAGAATTAAAGAAATTTGCAAATCTTCCAGACCAAGAAAACTCGAACCAAGGAAATGGACTAAACTATGTAACTGCTTAGTCTCATAATCATCATGTTGGGGTCTGACTGCAGTAATATATTCCTTCTCTCTCTCTCTCTCTTTCTCTCCTGGTTGAAGATACTCCATTGCCTGAAGCAGAACACTAAGGGGACAGGAAAAACAACAACTGAAGCATCTAAAGTGGAGGTTCTATTGCTTTTGACATACAGCTCTCTTCATATCTCCAAGTATTCTTGCTGTCCATGTGCACACAGACATACAACCAATCCCAGCACTATTGTAATTTAAACCAGTACAAAAAGTCCTCGATTTATGACGATTAAGCCCAAAATTTATGCTATTAAGTGAGATAGTGGTTAAGTGAGTTTTGTCCCATGTTATGACCTTTCTTGCCATAGTTGTTAAGTGAATCACTGCAGTTGTTAAGTTATCAACATGGCTCTTAAGTGGATCTGGCTTCCCCATAGACTTTGCTTGGCAGGAGGTCACAAAAGGTGATCATATGGCCCTGGGATACTGCAACCTTGATAGATATGAACCAGTTGCCAAGCGGCCAAAGTTTGATCATGTGATCATGGGGATGCTGCAAACAGTCATAAATGTGAAAAATGGTCATAAGTCACTTTTTTCAGTGCCGTTGTAACTTCAGTCAGTAAACAAATGGTTGTACGTTGAGGACTACCTTTATTGCATACAGCAATACTGCAAACACTGGCTCTTCCAAGGTCATAAAGGTTCTGAATTTTTTTTAAAAAAGTTTATGTGAGGAGGCTCCAAAATAATTTGAGTAGGAGTTGGTTCTAAAATGTAGCAGTTCAATGCGAGAAGGCTTACAACATCAGCTGCCCATTCTGACATGTGGGAAAACTAAGCTCTGGTTGCAGGATCAGACCAAGGACATAGAAGCATGACTTCCAATCAAACTCTTTCAAATAACTAACTATGGCTTTTGAATAATGTGATGATCTCTAGTAAAACCTTGGACTGTTTTGGGATTGCTGAATACAACAGAGAAAAATCTCTTGGCTTTGGCTTTTCAGTTGATGCCTAGAAGTTGCATCGTAAGAGACCCCAGGTCAGGTGGCCTTAAAAGAAAATAATAAATAAATACATAAATTATTGCTGCATGTGATGGTATCAGATATGCAAGATGGCAACACATGTGCTTTTTACATGGGAACTGAAGGACTGATTTGCCTGTTTTCCTTGAGAGGCTGGATATAGTATTAATAGGCTCTTACCGTCACTGCATGTCAGTGTTAATTTTTAGTGCCAGTTCTTGACAATCCTGTGGCATGAAATTTAGTTTATTTATCTGGCACTATTGATACTAAATTTTACATTTATCTATTCTGCAGCACTTTAAAACTTGGTTTTCTATTGTTCCTTTTCTGAGTTATGTTTACAGAACTAGCTACTCTTGGTAACTTCAGTCTGCAGTATCTCATTGAACTCTTATCTGTTATAGCCCTTTATTCATTTATCAATTGAAGATGGGAGTCCATTTATACCAGTAGCCTCAAGCGAGGAAGAAATAATTCTGGGGATTGGATAAGCTTAGCACAGAGTAGAAGAGATTCAATTTACAGCTATTTCTTTTCCAGGTTCTTTCCATAAACAGAGAATTTTGCATTATATCTATCATTAGACTTCTCCATTTCCTATTTTTTTACTGCCTTTTATGCATTCCAAATGTTTCATATTTGTGGGATAGACACTGTGAAATACCGTTTAGATAAAATCTCTCTACCATGCATTTGAATCAATTTCCACTGATTTGTGAACTCTGAATTAAACTGCTTTCTGCTTGAGGGTAAGATTACCTTATCTTCTTAGAGACAAAATGAAAGAAGATATTCAAAATATAGTTTTACACACATAGCAATCTATTACTAATAGGAGAGCCAAATTTACCGTGGCTAATATAACTGACAGAAATATGAATCCAACAGGACCTGTACACATTTTGCCATCTGCGCCTTATGTTCACTGTAGCTGATTTCACCCTGAAAAGGCTATCATAAGTTTTTCATATAGTCCATCACCCACTCCAAAAACTGCTTTATGATTAAAAATATTTATTACGGTTGTTTCTCCTCCCCTTGTTTATGTTGTCCAGAAGGAGCAAAAAGCGACTGCATTTTTCTTCACATCTCACACTGCAATTTAAGTTTGAGTCGGTAATGTTAAATGAAAGATCTTTTATATGAAAGATGAAGATTGAAAGACAATTTTGTTCTCTATCTGCCCCAAAAGGAAGAAAAAAACAGCATTTTTAAATATGGTCAAACTAAGTGTAGCATTTTGATCAATTCCTGTCTCCTAGGCTCTGCTCTTAGGTTTGTATGTGATTTTTCCAATTTTCATTTAATTATTTTTAGATCTCGAGCAATGTGGGGAGTAGTGAGAGTTCAAGACTAGGGTTTTCATAATATGCTTGAGGGCATAATCATGTAAGAAAATATGAGGCTGTTTCAACAAAGTTATGAAATAATCAATTATTTAACCTTTCCCTTGAGACAGAGGCTCTTATTTTATTTTAGTAAGTTTAGTATTCATACCAAAGACCTTTATTTAGCATCCATTTTGCATTAACTTTACTTTTAGTATTAAACTGGGAAAGCAAGATTAACTTCAAAGAGCTGAAGTGAACTGTGTATGAATACATCACATCCTTTGAGTTACATAAATCATCATTATATTTCATCAAGTCCAAAGTCAATTTGTCAAGAGGCATGGGGGGCAGGCTAGGTAGTAATTACACACTGTTTGTGCTAATATTTACCTGTTAGCAATGCAGAGTTTTTATGTGCTGGCCTCTTAAAGGCAAGATGAAACATCTACTTATTTGTCTTTGGAACAGAAGAGATGAAAAATGGCTGAATCACATTTTTTTAATTTAAAAATCTAATAAAAATAGTATACCAGATTGGCTAGGATGAGTAGATTATATTTGCTTTCTAAAATACAACAAATACATATTGTTGAAAAATCGGTGTTTTTTTTTAAAAACTGTTAACACATGCACAAGCACAAACACTCAGACACATAGCTTGCTCATTCATAGTAGCCATATGGTAATTCCAAAATATTAGATTGTTAATAATTAATAATTATAATTAATTATTGTAGAACCTTTGAGTTGTTCAGAAATGAAGGAATGTAGAAGAGGTCTTTGAGCTGAACTCCTTTGTGCATTTCCAAAAATAAATGAAACTAACATCACTCTCCATTCTCTATCCTCCCTTACCTTCCCCCTTGACAATGATAAACCAGCTTCTGTTTCATTGTAGCTTGGGGACAAATTCCCCAAATTTGCCTTGTAGAAGATTCAAATTTGCCCTACAGAGAAAATGTTTTCCATTGCATAATGAACAAACTTTGGTTTAAAAATGCTGGCTTGGCAGTACATTAAATTTAGCTGCTGTTTTTATTTATTAGATTTAGGCACCGCCTGTCTCCACTTTGACTCTGGGTGGCTCAGGATATAATAGAAAAAGAGAAAAATGAATATACAATCATATAGAAAATATTAAACAAGATGGCATATCCAGTCAACCACACCAAAATATATCACACAGTCAGCAAGGGGCTCTAACCACCCTAGCTGGGGAGAAGAATCAGATCTTTTAACCACCTTCTGATATGCCATCTGGGTGGGAGTTCCCCTGCATCTCAGGGAGAACTTCCTCCCAGAGGTCAGGCACCACGAAAGAGAAGGCTGGCTTTCTGAATCCCAAAAGATGACACTGTTTAATTGAAGGGACCTGACTTGAAGTGAGAGTTCATTTAGCTATTTTCACTTCTGTATGAACAAAGAAGAGTCCAGGAATATAATTCATACCAATTAAAAATCCTTTTTTTTTTACTTTGTGAATTTAGGGTTTTAT